CTTTGGAACAAAATCCAGCACTGTTGAAAGGATGAGACAGTTTAGCAAAGGAGATGTGCTATTACAGAAGTGTCATGGGAGGGCTTACAAGATGCTCCACACCCAGAGAACCCCAATCTGACAACTTCTCTGTTATATGTAAAGAATTAAAGAGAAGAAGCAGGGAAAGCTGTGGCTGGACAGGCAGGATGGGGTTCATCTGGTGGAGAAACCAAAGGTGCACAAGTAGTTTATGTCAACCTATACACACCAATACTACAGACAGAAGCCTAGGAGAAAAGTAGGGTGTTCGAATATAAAGTAGAGGAAACAGGAATAAAGTCTTCTTGCTTTAGGACAAAACTGTTCAGAACTGCCTTTTTAAATGTGGCCACTACAAGCCATAACCCAGAGCTCCCAGCTAGTGTCAAAACTCCTAATGAGATTTTAACACTGTTCTGTCTTTGAAACAGGAAGATTGGGGAAGGAAGAGGGCTTATTTAGTTTTGCAGCACACGGTTTTACACTGTTCCTACCTCTGGATTTTTAGCCTGAGCACACGTTAAGTACCAGCTGAGGAGAAATTGGTACTAGTGGTAGGAAGAGTTCTGGCAAATGAGCACTGTGTGCGTTATACCCTCAGATTTTCTTCTCTGTTAACAGGTTAGCTGAATCATCAAAAATACTAGTTTTATTGAAGCTCTCTTTTGAAGGTAGATCATGTTTCTTCACAGAAGATGCAGGATTGAAGTTTATTTTGGATTCATTTTTGAGCTGTGGGTGGGATATATACTTGAAGTCTGCCATCCTTGACACAGAAAAAATAGATGCTAAACAAGGTGATCTTTCCCCTACTGAGCATAGAAAGAGCTGAGAGTTACTAAACAGCAACATGACACCAAAATAAAGCATTTCCAAAGAGCCTTCCAGTAAATCAGATCACAAATTTTCAGTAAAAGATATTTTTAACTACTAAAAGACCTTTTACAATATAGTTGAGATAATTTAAAAACTTAGAGTGTAGTGAACCAAAAAAACCTAAACTTCAGATTTTTCCAATACTACTTCTGAGGAATGAGGTCAGTTCAAATAAAGGTACTGATAGTAAAAATCCTCTCAAATGGCCTTCTAAAGCTAGGCTGATAAAATGAACACAGTCAAATCATAACGGAGTGATATATTGTGCTCCATACTTCATTGATTATATGTTTACATTCTGAGAAACCTGCT